ACTACTGGGAAAACCTACCAAAAATGAAGGACTGATTATACCACTGGAAATATTCTACAGAGGCAGAAAGGGCCACCAAGACCCATAGATTTAAAATAGTCCCTGTCTGGTTGGCAGAAGCCATCTTGTAGCACCTCAACTGGGGGGAAAAACAACAAAAAAACCCAAAAAACAAACAAACAGTCAAAGTCTGTTTTCCCCTTCTCACCAACTATCTCTTTAAAATAAACAAAGTAGCTAGCCCTTAATTCCTCTACCTCAAATTGTGGCTCATCATGGATAATTCAAGATAGGTAAAGCAAGTGCTTTAAGTTTTAGGATTAAAAAAAGTAAATTGAATAAAACCATAGCTCAGAGACACCAATATAACAGGATTTTATATACAAGGAGACTGTGGACTTAAGGGAAATTCTGAAGATCAAAACATCATCCTTGTATATAAAATACATGAATGAGGGGAAGCAAGGGCAAAACTCATATTTTCAAAATTTTAAATAAGTGAATGCTATGGAAGAAAGACTCTAGATAATGGCAGTTAACTGTGGTCAGAGGAAAATAACAGGGTTTAAAATAACTGGATATATTATGACAGCTGTGGAGGACAAAGATGACCCAACATAGGAATTATTATTTTCTCCGAAGTGAAGACTCAACAAAAGAATCTGAAAGATATTGAACGATATAATAGAGAAAATTTCCCTGAGGTGAAAAAGTGAAAGTGCAAAATGTATCAGATCAGACAGAACAAGAGACAAGTATCAGGCTGCCTTCAGACATTTTTATGCCAATATTCAGTGCTAGAATGTCATAGGAAGTGAGTTAACAGGAAAAGAAGTGATGAGCCCTTACTAATATCCCCAGAAAAACAAATAAAGAGAACAGACATATTTTGCATGAAATATTTCAAGGGTTAACAAGCAAGCAAGCAAACGCACAAACAAAACTAATTAGCAGTGAAATACACGTAAGGAGGGATGACTTAAATATTGAACTTGCCATAGAGAAGCCATAATGGAATACTGGTGGTGAATACCGCAGCCGCCTATATATAGAATTAAGATCAAAGTGCCAAGGCAATTAATGTTGCAGAACAGAATGCAATTACTCTGAACTCTGGCAAAGTTAAAATAATATAATTGTCCAGAAAACTGAAAATGAAAAAGGGTGAGGACAAATTGGAGAGGAGCTAATCACCTCAAATTGCACTGCGGGGAGTTAATGAACACTGACACGTGCGGCTGAGGCAGCCAGCTTCTAAATGGTACTCATAAACTTTTATTCTGAACATAAAGACAAGCTTTAAAGAATTCTTGTTGTGAAGAAAAATTTAAGTTCAGTAATTCTTCTTAATTTATTTCAGAGTATATTTCCTCTACTAAATGACTATGTTATTGTAAAAAGCATGTCCGTGTCTCTCTACATACTTTGCCACGGATGCAGATGTATAAACATATAACTGTGATGATATTCAATGTATATTAACAGTGTGTTGTTGTTTTTTCCTGAGTGTAAAGATTTTGGGATAATTTGTAGTTTTTATTTTTCTTTTACCTTGAATAAAGACATTGCAGTGAAATAATCACTTTCACCTGTTTTCTACATCTAAATGCAAGATGATAATGACAATGAGGAAATGATTATAGAAGCCGGCAGATATCTCTTTGCATGAATTGGTCTGCGTGGGAGAAAGAAACCAGCGAAGAGATTTATAGGGGAGAAAGGTACCAGAAAAAAGACGGGGTCCGGAGATTCGCACGCTAGGTAACTAGGAATGAGTTTTGCTGAGCCTGCCTGACCCCATGGCTCTGTGTCTGAACTCCATAAAAAAGTGTTGATTACACAAGGTAAGAAACTGGTTGTAACCAAGAACGGAGTTAGCATCCAAGCTCTGATGCCCGGTGAAATGAGTGGGCATGGAGCGGGGAGCAGAGCCTCATTCACAGCTCCGCTAACACAGGAACCATAAAGAAAACAAACGTGTTTGCTTTGCTGGGGTGTTATTGAAACTGGAATTATCTGGTATGGCTCCCCGGCATAAGTATCAATCTCGCATGCACGGTGCTGGGATGGGAGGGCAGTGGTGGGGAAACAACTTAACTAAAAAAGTAAACAACAAGGCTGGTTAGCTTATGTCAGATGAAGTTAGGTAATGCTTCAAGTTCCAGAGACCTGCATATGATGCCAAATTTCAGGTAAGAATCAGTGGGATGCAGTTAGTACTGTGGACTCATGAAATCTTGGGAAACATACTTCAGTTACATGAAAAAACAAACAGCCTGGAGATTACATGTCCTAATTTCCTGCTATTTCAAAACATCTGACCTAATGTTAGAACATGTGCATTGAAGATTGATTCAGAATGTAATCATTTATTTGAGGTAGCCCCAAATTACAGATCCTTCACTATTCCTTCTCATTGAAGAGAACTATATATTTAATTTCATAAATATTCAACGAGTTCTTACTCTCTGAAAGCAATGTGTTAATTTTGAAAGGTTCATTGAATTCTAAGATATTTCAAGCAGATATGATTTTCTGTGCACCAATATGACAGACAATAGAAAAGGTTGATTTTTTTTCAAAGCATAAATAAAGAGTAAGCTGTGATAGATAATAATAGAACTCCAAATACCTATAGACATTTAGAGGTGGGGAGGGAGGCCAGTTAGCATGTAGACAGTAGGAACAGCCCCTGGTTTATAGGTTGAGACACTAGAAGTGTGTGTCTGTGGGCAACTGTATTTTCTGACAAATAGAAACATCAATGGTGAGAGGGAATCATTGGTTCACTGCCTCCTGCACGCCCTCTACTCTGGATGGAGCCCACAACCCAGGCATGTACCCTGATCAGGAATCAAACCTGGACCTTCTGGTTCATGGGTCGTTGCTCAACCACTGAGCCACACTGACCAGGCTTTTTCTTCATTTCATACATTTTTTGGTAGTGTATATGTAGAGAAATTTTCAGGAAGTAAATGGGTCTCCTTCTTTTGTTCCCAAGCCACACCCTGTGCCTGACTGCAGACAGAACGTGCCTCCTGCCTGTGCTGTGCCCTTCGCTTTGCAGTTACCTAAAGGCAAACGATGAGCAGAGGACCCATGGGAAGGACACGCAGCAGGACTGGAGATGTGAAAGGCGGCATGTAGATGTCGATCACCACAGTGGGCTTTAGAAATGCTGGTGAACCGAGCTTGCAAACTTTCCAGGGACAAAGGTTAGGACGCCTGACTGCCACCACCTCACACTTTAATGTCAGAGAATCAGTGGATTCTTTCTTATTAGGTCGATAGATGGAGTCAACATTCATCCAGTTCTCCTAGGAGAATCCTAGTTTACACCCATAGCTCTGAAAAATGTTCCAGCTGAGAAGGTAAATTCTATCTTTCTCTAAATTGTTTTCCCAGGCAGCCACTATAATTTGGTCTAAAATGGATGAATTTTCAAAGAAGTTTACTGCCTATGATGACTCTCACCTTCTTCCCATGTTAATTTCTTGATTTCCATGTACAAGTTTTCATTTCTTCAAAGATTAAATTGTTTAATCCAAACACAACACTAACTTCCATTCAGAGGAAAGACATTAACCTCTGTAAGCATGTTATTTTTCAGTTTTTATAAAAATAAAACAAAACACCAATCAATTTTTAAGTTTAATTATTTTTATAGTTAATCATGTACTAGTGAGGTTAGGTAGTCATACATGTGCCTACTGTGTTATTTGTCTGACCAAAATGCAGAAAGTAATCTCAGTATATTTTTCTAGTACCCAAAGTCAATATAGTATATTAGTGAAACTCTGTAGGTTCACATAAAACAAAATAAAATTTAAAGTTAAGCCTGGCTGGTGTTGCTCCGTGGTTGAACATTGACCTATGAACCAGGAGGTCACAGTTTAATTCGTGGTCAGGGCATATACCCAGGTTGTGGTTTTGATCCCAGTGTGGGGTGTGTAAGAGGCAGCCAATCAATGATTCTCTCTCATCATTGATGTTTCTAGCTCCCTCTCTCTCTCTCTCTCTCTCCCTTCCTCTCTGGAATCAATAAAAAATATTGATAAAATAAAAAAGTTAATATAATTATCCTCATTAAACATTTTATATAAAAGAATGTTCTATTCTGTTGTCACTATGACATTTAAGTGAAAAAATGGCTTTGAAACAAATTATCAAATTATGTCTTACTATGTACCCAATTTCCTAAGATGTTATATCAGTAATATTTAAATATAACTCTAGTTTTAAAAATACTTTTATATTTATGAAATAAATTTATCAATCTTTCCACATTTTATGTCACATGCTTTCCATTTTTCCTGTCTTAATAAATTTATTTCCACACCTACGTACAGATCCCAGGGAATGCCTTATAGATTGAAAGATTCTAGTTAGATTTTGAGATAACCAAGAATACTTACTACCTTCTGAGAAGTAACACACAAACCAACATGAACAACGTCTCATTTATAACCTTTTGAGTTTTAACATGCTGCTAAGTGATAAAACACATAGAGCACACACACAGGTGAAAGGATAATATTCTTACTTGATTTAAATAAATTCCAAAATAAATTTAACTTCTATACTAAGACTCTTTGTCATCTCTTAGAAAATGCATCTGCATTAAAATATATATAATATATTGAAATAAAATCACTTATTCAAATCAATGCTTCCAGCAAAAATTGCTCAAGATTTATTAAATGCCCCTTTTGGAATTCCTGTAAGTGTGTATTTCTAACTTCCATTGAAAATAGAGGGGCACATATTATAGACTAACAAACACAACACTATAGTTTAATTCTAAATGGTTTCTAATGTGTTACTTTGAAACTAGCCTTCACTTGTTCAGTTGTTTAATTGTTTTGATTTATGTAAATAAGTCTTTAGCTTTAGGAAACAATTACATATTGAAGAGATAAGGGGATTCTATCTTCTTAGTTCAAGCTAGAACATAACCTCTAAATTATCTTTTACAGTAAGCCAAAGCCAGTATCACATACCTTTCGGGAATGAATTTCTTTCACATACAATGGAAGTAGAAACTCAGATATACCTTCAAGTCGAATTCCCTTCTTGGTGACTCTCAGATTTCCCATACCATCCTACAAGCAATGAAATATAGTTCACTTTTAGGTTAATGAGAGAATGAATAACTGGCCATAATTTTCTTAGGCCTAAATTGAGAAAACAGTAAGCTCAAGTCAGGAATGATTTAAGGAAAATGGGAGATTTAATCTATTTAATGAATGACTGCAGCATTTTGCATGCATATAGAGGGCTCTGTTTAACATAAGCAGGATGAGAGGAATAAAAAGGATCAAGTATCTCTCTCAGCTCTATCAGGAATGTATCTATGAATAAATCCTGTACTTTCTTCATGCAGCAACCAGTTCAACTATTTGTTAGGTATAATGATACTAGCTACCCGATTATTGGGAACAACTTTATTTGCAGAAATCTAATAATATTTTTACATTACAATTATACACACACATATTTCTACAATATTCAAATAGTCACATTCATATAATAATTTCAATAAGTACTTAATAATTGACTAGTATAAGTAAGCATGGTGTTTCAGTATTCAAATAATAAATAACGCATATATCCTCTCCTTTAGAAAATACTCTATGAGGAGGGTTAAACAAGTACGCAAATAATGTTTATGAAACAGAGTAAAATAAATAAGTAAGAACAGAACGCTACTGGGAATTTAAAAAGAAGATTTCAAACCTGGCAATTGAATATGCCACATCTCATGGAAGAGATTGACTATGATAAAGGCCTTAAGAATATGGAATTTCAACCTGAGATGTCCTTAGAGAGAGAGGAGCAAAATGAACATCTGGTAACACATAGGACATAACAATGCCATCCAATCTGGATAGTGTATGAAATATGGTGAGAGAATACAACTGGGAGTATGTTTTGAGGCCAGAGAAAGGAAAGCCCTGAATACAAAGCTAAGGAGTCTGTACTTATTTCAGTCTCCAAGAGAAGAAACAGAAGTTCGTCAGTAGCTCAGATTACCAGTGTTTAAGCTTTAAGACAATTCTGGTATATTATGTGGGCCTAATTGACAGAGCGTCAGTTACTAATGAACAACTTGGCATATGTGTGAGGGTGGTGGTGGAAGAACAACTTATAAGACCTTGTGACTAACTTTATCTGGAGATACTAAAAAGGGAGCATTTACAATTTATCCAAGATTTCACCTCTATGACTAAATAAGGGAACATAGTGGTTTTTACACTAGATCCTGGAAATTTGTAGGCAGAATAGCAAAAATAAATTCAGCTTTGGACTTTCTAACTTTGAGGTAACATTGAAAACTTCAGATACTACTAATAAACCATTGCATCTGCGGAAAGTGGGTTGGAGGATGCCAATCACTTAAGGCATGCTTGAGTCGATCATGGTGGATGAGCAAATTTTACTCTAAAACTTTTAGATGATGACTTAGGTTTGTGAGTTGGAAAACAGTTATTTCATACATTCCGGGAGGCTGTGACCAGTAACATCAGAGGAAACCCAAGACATTCTGATAGCCCCAGTCTCTACCCCTTCTCTCTCCAAAAACAAGTCAATGAAGTAGTATAAATAGAATTTTGAATAAGAATTAAAAGACTTTTAAGTTAGACAAGAAAAATGACTATTAAGAGAGAGAAATTTTTATGTGGTGAGGTTTATATCTCATCAAAGGAGAAAGTAATAGATTTTGGTTGAATTGAACTGGGAATGGGAAGAAGAAATTCGCTTCTTGAGGCTCTGACTTAAAACTGACACTGGAAATGCCTATTAGGGAACTGGATGAGAGAGAGAGAGAGAGAGAGAGAGAGAGAGAGAGAGAGAGAGAATTTTAAGGACCATTCAAGGCTAATTCTGATGGGAAAACCGTCTACCTTTTTAGGGAGGATGACACACCCTGGTTTCTCTGAGATAGCTGTTTATACCAGTTTTATAACAGACACTTTCACTCTCAAAAGTGAAATGTGTCTCTGACCTAGAAATTAATTACATGGCCACCGATATACTGGCTCAGTTAGTATAGTTTCACAGCATTCTACCTAGGTAGGGACAGAGGCAGAAGTCAGTTAGAGACTCCGAACTGAGGATGTGCCAGGCAGGAATGGCAGAGTCATAAGGATGTGACATTCTAAAGTAGCAAAAATTATGCCCTTCAAATATCTGGCCATTATTTTTCTTATTGGGTAGGAACAAATAAAGCCAGAACAGCACTGCTGGGCTGCAAAATAGCACAAGGTCAAAGAATGATAATTGATAATGAATTGATAACCAAGATCAACAGGGGTTTAGAAATATGAGATAGGGGAAGAGAGATTTGTCACCAGAAAATGGAGCTTCTGATATTGAGATTTTGACAGTGAGAGAATTTCCAGATATGACGAGGCCTAAAGAACACTTGGGCAGTGGTGGGAGAAGTGGAGACAGAACTCTCTATAATTCAGAAAGCAGATAATATTAGAACATGTGAAATGACACATGGCTTAAAGTATTTATTTCCTCAAGGGATTTTCTTTACTAAATCTCACACACTGACTGTCCATATATATGGTCAAATTCTATCTGAAGGAAATTTTCTGCAGTATTTCCCATGGAGTTGCTCTGAACATATCTAATAGAATTATCTTAGGGAAACCAAAAAATTCTATCGCAAACATAATTCCCATTTCAATATTAATCTTTTTAAATACTTTTTAAAAAAACATATTTTTATTGATTTCAGAGAGGAAGGGATAGAAAGAGAGATAGATAGAAGCATCAATGATGAGAAAGAATCATTGATTGGCTGCCTACTGCATACCCCCTACGGGGGATTGAGCCTGCAACCCTAGCATGTCCCCTTGACAAGAATGGAACCTGGGACCTTTCAGTCCACAGGCAGACTATCCACTGAGCCAAACCAGCTAGGGCATTATTTATTCTTTAATGTACCATAAATAAATGGAAAATACTTAATTTCCAACTTCTAAAGAAAAAAATCTTAAATATATATATATTTAAAAATACACACACTGTTTTAGGCTGTTATTTATAATTTAGTAGAGGCCAGTGCATGAAAATTCATGCACTTGGTGGGGGGTCCCTCAGTCCAGCCTGCACCCTCTCGCAGTTCAGAACCCCTTGGGGGTTGTCCACCTGCCGGCTTAGGCCCACTCCCCAGGGGACATCCTTAGTGCTGCCGTGGAGGCGGGAGAGGCTCTGGCCACTGCCACTGTGCTGGCCAGCCATGAGCTGGCTTCTGGCTGAGCAGTGCTCCCCTTGTGGAAGTGTACTGACCACCAGGGGGCAGCTCCTGCATTGAGTGTCTGGCCCCTGGTGGTCAGTGCACGTCATAGCGACTGGTCGTTCCAGGTCATTTTGCTGTTAGGGTCAATTTGCATATTATCCTTTTATTATATAGGATAATAAGCTGTTTTCTCTCATAAGAGGAAGAACAAATAAAAACGTAAGTTGACAGCCTGCTTTGAATGTGTTTTTACTATGCTGTTTGCTGTAAGCCTGTATGTTATTTTCATTTCAATAGGCCTTCTTTATTACTGCCTATTATTAGAAAATAAGTATTACAGTGATAATAATTGATAGAACTATAAATTTGACCTCTAATTCAGCTTATATAGCAATATCTTTATAGGTTTTTGTTAGTAAAATATCTTTTATCATCTGGAGCATAATATATTACCTTTTTTTCTTAGCCAATATTCAAAGTTTCAAATAATTTATATACCACCAATTGTCAGCACTGTGAAAAGGTTTTAACTGTTTTCATATATTGAATAAGACAATAAACATTGCAGTTGGTATCTTTTATTTGTATTGGCATCCTTTAACCATGTGAATGATTTTTAAAATGCATAATAAAATAAAATTCATTTTTTCCTAAATTTTCTCTTGCTAAAATATAATTTCTTGACAAATATTTTCCTCTTTTTCTAACAACTCACATATCATTCACTTCTTGGGACATATGCAATTGCTTAGTAACAAAATAATCAGAATGGTAATATGCTGAAGCAAAATAAAATAAAAAAATAATATACTTAATGACATGGTAGATATGATCACAATAATCTAGTAAGTGGAGAAAATGTGGATGCATTCAATAAATCTGATGAGACTATGTACTAGTATAAGGGATCAGCAAAGATATAAGCCTTATAGTAATGATATTATATATCAGGGACCAGCAAATGTTTATTTGAAGTAAATGGAGAATAGATCATAGCTGTTCAATCCAGTAGGAACATTTGTAATACAGATGCATTTTATGTTCAATATTCTTAAAAACAAATGGCTTCCACAGGAATTGCTGCAAGGAAAAAATTATTTCTGTGACCAAGCCTACTAATATTATATTACTTGTATAACACAACTTTAAATGTGCAGGGAAATCCCTGTAATGTGCAGCTTTAACTTTAAATTCAAGTTTACATCTTAAGAATGTGATAATCAACCTTGGCAGAAGACAGGCTTCTTAATCAACAGTTCTCTAGGAAAACTGAGGATGCTATTAAAACACAGCACATTTCTTGGTGGTAAATGTGACAACTGAAAAAAACATCAGGGATTTGACTTAAGAAAAATATTACATAATTAATTAATAATAATGCTATGCACCCTACAGACAGCCATCCATAAGTAGTTGACTGAGAAACATCCATATTTTAATCTTTGCAACATGACTATAAAGCCTAAAGGTTCACTATTAGCATTCCTGTCTTTCTCAAACTTCTCTATATATAAAAGCCTAAGAGACTGAACGACTGAACAACCGGTCACTAAGACACACACTGACCACCAGGGGGCAGACGCTCAATGCAGAAGCTGCCCCCTTGTGGTCAGTGCGCTCCCACAGCCAACCTCCCACAGCCGGCCAACCTCCCGCAGTCCCTCCCTCCGGCCAGCCGGCCCTGATTGGCCCTGATTGGGACTGGGCGAGACAGCCCCTGATTGGCCCCAATCCCTGGCCAGGCCAAGGAACCCCACCCATACACGAATTCGTGTACTTGGCCTCTAGTGTTTAATAGAATACCAGAATTATAATAAACCTAGTGAAAAAAATGCTCAGTTTTCAAGT